CTTCTTACCTTTGGTCCGATTGTCCACACGGTGGAGAGATTGCCAAAGTTGTATTGACATGTTTTTATTTTATGAGTGCTACAGGATAGATTAATACTTGAAAACGAAATGGAAAGTGCCTTGTGTAAAAACCACCTATTGTTAGTTGTTCATTGTATAAATGGTTGTGTACAAAAGATGCGTGGATGTATGAAATGAAATTACACACGGACCGAACGCAGCCCAAGGTCAGTCGGTAAGAAGCGTTCCCAAAAACTTAAGTCGTGGCTTGGAAGTATACTTGCTTCGTTTCTGAAGGAAGTGACTTGGAAGTATGCGACTACCAAGGCAGTATCCTCGCGATTGAGAAACGGCCAGAGTCTCATAAAATGCTTTGTGTTCCTCGCAGCAAATATGTCTTAAATAGACCTTAGATAGACCTCCTTTTTGCTTTGCATTTCATTTCCCCTTCCAACAGAATAAAACAAATATAGAAAAGTGTCATTATTTTACATCCACACCCACAGACTCACCTTGTCAAAGATGCCACACTCACAGATGAGCTGCTCTCTGGCCTTGGTGTTGATAGCGATGGTAAAACGAATGTGTGGCATAAGCAGCTGAGGAAGGAACATCAATCAAAGAAATGTCATTCGTTTGTATATTGAACCTTTACTTACAATGAGAGAGTTGAAAAATCCCACCAAATGTTAACAATACGGGTAGAACATTTGATAATTTAAATAATTAAATGCCAAATATAAGTTATTTTAAAGTATAGGTTGGGAGGTTTGGGATAAACTGGTTAATGGGTCTGAGGTTTACCTTGTACACAGGGTGAACAGCAGGGAGCTGCCGGTACATGGCGATAGCAAACACCTCTGTGATCAGGTGAGTCCGGAGCAGGTGTGTGATGTTCTGGTGGTACTGGAAGTCAGCGGAGCGTACCCAGATCTTAGCCAGCAGCCAGTCGTACTTAGCGTCAGTGGGCAGGAAGATCGGGCTGTCATCACCTGGGGTCTGCCCGAGCTGGGGAAAAGAATCAGGAAAAAGAGAGGAATGGATTTATACAGAAATGTTTCCCTGGAGGTGTAATGAAATGGCAACATCGAGTAAATGTCTATAGCACAGTTTCTACACAGGATAATGTGTGCTTTACATAAGGAACAATAAAAGATAGGAACATAGCATAGGATAAAAACATTGGAAAAAAGCCAAGCTACATCACAAGCACATAAAAAGAGACATTCTGAATCATAGAATTGTTAGATTTGGTGCATATCTAGGACCTTCCTGCACTTTGTTCCAGTTGCATGCAGCATAACATTACATATCATTTAGCTGACGCTTTTGTCCAAAGCGACTTACAATAAGTGCAAAAACCATAAAGATTCCAACACCGAACAACAAGGAAAGTGCATATATATTCACTTCAAGCAAGATCATACCACAGTGAGTGCTGGTGAATTAGTTACAAGGCCTACATTGACTCAAAAAGTGCTTTGTGTTTATATTCTTCATAGATACAGGGACACACAGGCTCAACAGTACCTGTATGGCTATGGGCATGATCTTCTTCTGAGCGTTCTTGTAGAGCAGACACATGGGAGCAGCGATGTACTGCAGCGTGCACGGGTCAGTGCAGTTAGCAGTGATGCCCTCCAACACCTCGTAGTCCGCTATGTAGATGTTTCCTGCCTGGAGCCAAACATGGATTCATATCTTTAGTCAGTGGGAGGTTTAAAGTTAAACATGGACTTTGAATATGTCAAAACAAGTCTACCTCTATTTCCTCCTCCAGAGTCATCTCTCTCTCCAGGCTCACATTAACCATCTCATCAGTGACCGGAAACTTCTCGGGGATTTTGGTGCACTTTTTGATTACTACGGGGTTGCAGCCGTTCAGAAACTGGTATCCAAACATGAAGTCCTCCTTCCAGTGTTTCATCACATACTCTGGATAATACAAATACATTATGATATAATATAACAAAACACAACAATATATTATATAAAATAATATAATATATGTGAGGCTGACCTGAGATTGTGTTTTTGATTCTCACAAAGATCTTCTCAAAGTCAGCGAAGTCACTCCAAGAGGACTGGAACATGTGCATGAACTGGTTCACACACAGGTTCTCTATTCTGAAAATCCATCATCACCATCATCATCATCCTCATCCTCATCATCATCATCATATGCAAAATAAAGTACAAAAAAGTATACAATACACAATGTATTTTTTGGAATATGTAACTAAGTACTGCAAATAATTCCCTAAAGAAAATGACATGTCATACTGATTGTGGCTATGATGTTTTTCACTGCAGCCTTTCTGTCAACACCTATGAAGCTCACTTTTCCAAATTGCGTGAGTCATTTTCCACCTCAGCTACTTCTCTAGACCCTCCTCTGCTTCAAAGCTTTGTCATTGATGCAACTTTTAGCAGAACTAATGCATGGTGCAAACGGATGTGTTTGGAATCTGTCTTGTGTTATTGTGTCTGTGCTCAGCCTCTCATGCCTGCATGAAAGCAAAATGCAAATGTCCCTGGAGATAAACACACAATGAGACCTCTGTTTATTTCCAGGAAATCCTGGGCACAGAAAATAGAGTGCACGTCATCGGGCTGGAGATCATCATATGACCGGGGCATCGTGAAAGCTTTGAATTGAAACACACCTCGGAGGTTAAGGCCTCTTTGTACTGAGGGGCATCAGCTGCCCTCACAACTACTGTCAACCTGTGTTCTACAGCAGGCTGCCAGAGGGAGCACTTACGCCTTACTGTAGTTCAGTACGAAGTCCACTCCCTTCTCAGTGTCAAACTGGATGTCCCGCGGCAGGTCTTTGTGTCTGTTAGCATCTATGCTCATAGGAATGCCTGGCTGCCACTCCTTCCACCTGTAAGGACAGCAGGGATGTTAGCCTCAGCCTCTTTTATCAGAAAACCACAAACTGTCTGAACTGGCCTGTAGGTCTTTCGCCTCCTTTCCAGCTCTTTCTGTCTGTGCTGCTTCACCAGGCTGGTCTTATCATCCTGAGGCAGGTGTGCTGCAACCGACACAAGACAAAGTGAGCGATCATGGAACAATAACAGAGTTTGACCTGCAGACTGATGAAAAGACGAGGCAGGCAGTCTGGAAAAGCAAACTCATGTACCTCTTGCATCCCGCAGCACCACCTCCTTGTCATCCACCAGCCAGCGGAAGCAGGGGAACTCCAGATAGTCTCCACCGGGGGTCTTCACTGTGACGTACTTGCAGTACCAGTCATCCTGCACCCAGTACCTTTTCTTCTCAATCTTCACCAACACAATCTCTCCCAGGTTCTCATCCACCCTCACGTCATAGGAGTCCACCTGCAATTTATTCAGCAGGGAAATAAATGAGCTAGGAAAATAGTGTTATTTGAAGAATCCACTGTGCATTAATAGTGTATCGTCAGTAAGCGTTGTTGTATAAAGGGAAGAGGTGAAACACATTTAGCCTGTCACAGCATAGTGTATGAGAAAACCTCAATGTCACATAGAGGGTTTCATTTGTGTGCAACCTTTGGTCATGTTTGTCGACGTGAGCATGATCAATTGCAAAAACAAATTGACATCTGCAATGCAGAGAAATGTGGGACTTCAAAAATATCAAGCTAAATAAAATGCTTTTTAAACATTTGCAAGTTTGCAGGGGACAACAGATAAAACCTACAAACCTTAATGTATGGTAAAATAGTTTTCAAGAATGCTAAGTGGATGCTAAATTCTATATTTATACCTCTTCCTATCTACATGCAAACATTTCTTAATAGAATAGTACAGCCATTGCATGATTTTGATTTATTTTCTATATTTTTTTTTCTATATTTCTTGTATTTTTATTGTCAAACACTATGTGAAATCATATCATGAACTTTGCTTAGGGTTGGAGTACTTTCAAACACTTGGTCTCTCTGGAGAATAAACTGAAGGGAGCAGTTCAATTAGTCAAGAATACATTTCAGGGACATTTAAATAAAAGGACCTCTAATTATTTGTTTTTAAGCACAAAAAGGTCTACAGTATGTTTTTAAAAGATAAAAACGTGAAAAAGGTTGCTTATATTTTTGTAATAAAATGCTTTGTTCCTATCAGCAATTACTTCTTAAAATACAACAAATTTCCCCTTCCAACAGAATAAACATCAATGCACCTTCCTGTCTCTTCTTCCTCTTTTTAGTCTACATGCAAACAAGCTCACCCAGGGTTTGTCTGTGTGCAGTTGTTGGTGCCCACCATTCATCAGAATTGAAAATAAATGTGCTGCTGAAACTTCACTTACCGCCCCTCTCTCAAAGTCATTGTACAGAGGTTTGTCCAGCAGCGTTCTCTCGCTGCATCTCTCCGTGCCCACCAGAGTGATGTAGATATAATCATCTGTCCCTGCAAACCACTGGCTGCCCGTGGAAACTGTCACCGTGTAGGAAGGCATGGCGGTCACACAGGTCCAAAGGCTCTCTGGAGACTAAGAAATCTGCAGAAAAGTACCACAACCAAAGCCCCTGAGGTTTGCACACTTCTCTTTGCTGTTATTGTGTCACTGATGTTCACTTCTCTCTTCTCCCCATATCTCTTTCACCAACAGAACATGTGTAATCAGGCAGAAGAGGGAGGTGCACAAAACGGATCTCCACCTGCATACTATAAAATGATGTCAGAATCAAATACGACTCCTTTCTAGATGCGTTATCAGCTTGGATTTCTGGAGCACCGACATGAATGTTGGTGCAGGGAAAGGTGTCTTATACCAGGGAGAGGATATCAAACTCATTGTCTTTGTCAGCAAACAACAGGACTTCCTGAAATTCCTGTATTACAGAAGAAAAAGAGAGGGCAGTCCAACGGCGTTACTGATGATATGAAAGGGACATGTTGACATACATATCTTTTACACATCATATTTACTAGTCAAATCAGTATCTGCCACTGGACAACAGCTGGCACTGTATTCCAGTTTCAGTGAAATAAATGCAAATCATAGAGTCCCTCTGTGGTTTTACAGGTGAAACTGTAACGTAAACGTTGACAGGGGTCTGTGTGTGTTGCACTCGAAGTGGGAAATGGGATTAATATGGTCCTACTTCACAAGTAAGATTAAAAAATAAATCTATTAAAGGAATAAAACACACCTAATCAGCCTCTTGTAAAAATGGTGTAAAGTCTGAGCGTACAGGACAGGATCATTCACATGTTCACCGTCACAGACAAATAAAAACCCAAGCAGGCGTACTGTTTCAAGATCACTTGTAATGTAATGCTGTCACTGTTTAAAAGGCAAAACTGAACATGTAGAGAAAATACAGACAGACATTAAAAAGGCATTTTCTTTTGTTCAATCCTTCTGAAAACGATGCATATTTAGTACATATTTACATCACATATAGCTTGATGAAGTTGTACAGTGTAGTTTTACAAACATTTACATATCCAAATATCTTCTCTTACATAATCACGTCGCAGTGAGCAGCAAGAACAGAGCTGATCTATTCCCCAATTGTTGGGATACTTAAAAAACTGCAATAACAGAGTAGGGTCATGTATTCGATACCAAATAGGAAACCAAAGGAGAAAGAAATGAAAGCTCCACAGTGCTGAAGATGAGTGGCATTTTAATAAGCAGAAGTGTTACTGAATACTACATTTTGTTTCGGAAATGGTGGCTTGAACTTCTCATTGGTCTGATTGTACTCTTAAGCCAAATCAGGTTGCTCTCCTGACTCCATTTCTTACTATAATCTACAGACACTACAGTATGATGGAGGATGGGTGCGGGCGCTGATTGTGAATCAACTTGTTATTGGAGGGTGTGCTGTAAAGTGATACGAAATATTTTTGACGTTTTTAGGGGGGCAGTTCGAAAAAGGTTGATCGTCTCTGAGCACATTTGAGATTGGACAAAAGTTTTATTTTTGTATTGTTTGTTAGATATTTGGTAGTTTTAACTCTTCAGCCCTCTCGCAATTATTCAAATGATATTTACTGAAAAGTATATAGGGGATATATGCAAACTGTGATGTCTCATTTAAAAAAAGTCCCAAGCCATAAAGGTTACACACCATTGGCTCAATTTTCCCGCATTCATATACTAGGTCTAAAACTCGTAGAAAACACACGAAACAGTCTGGTGAAGTAAGATATTAAATGCAGAGAAAGGCAAGAGGCTGAAAAAGCAAGTCTGTCTGAAGAGACGCATGTAAACACAGGTGGTGACTTTAAGGTTGAAAGTTAGGAAACGATTATTTCATCATTATTAAATGTTCAGTCTTTGTGACAGTAGCTCGTAGTTCAACATTTTGGTTAAAAACAGTGCATATATTTCACTTATTATCTGACAGCTAGCTTTCATTAACAAAACAATTATCTACCCTGACTTGTATTTTTTTTTATGAATTTATGAAATATATACGAATGTTTTGTCCAGCTGTGATGGTAAACAATTACATGTATATTCAATGCTGCCACCCAGTGGCAACCTCTATGTGAATCAATAAATAAATGAAGAAAAAGCTACAGTCATGAGGTGCACATTTTGAGTCCCATCACGTCCCTCTTATATCCATATCATGTTAAATGCTGACTTCTTAAACTCTGAATATCTTTCTGATTGCAGCAGAATAATTCAATATCATCGGAGCTACACAATTAAAAATCTGATCGACATTAACCAACATAAAAAACAAAGCAAAGATAAGAGTACAGACATTACCTGCTCTATTCAAGGTTCGGCAATAAAATGTTAAGTTTAAACTGAAATAAAGTGCCAGCTTTGTCACTGCATTGATTATACTGATTTTAGATTTGTGTAGAGGAAACAACAACTTCTCCTAGAGTTACTGCACCCCAAAGCTGCCCTATACATTTAAAGACACGCACAACTTTAAATAAACCAACACTGAAAATCATGAGAATATTCTCAAACTCAAACCACATTCCCAGAATAACCAACAATTTCATTACCAGGTAAAAAGGAAACGAGTTAGAAATAAACTGGTCATCTGATCATTGTAGGCTGATGTCCATGTTAAAATCAAGTCAGAGGACATCTGTGTGAGCGGCTTCTACACAATCAGAGGGTTGTTTTGTTAAAGTTAAAGAGCACATCATCGCCCCGAGCCGCTAACCGGCTGTATCCATGGAGACACTGATGAGAGAGAGAAATTCAAACCACATGTTGTATGTTTGAGTAAATCTTCTCTTGAGAAGTGGGCGACACACAAAACCAGGAAGTAGAAAGGAACTGAATGGGACAGACGATGAGTGGCTTACTGTCTGAAATCCAGTTTCCTTTTTCAGTATGAGCTGACTCTCATGGTGCCTTCAGTGAACTAGAGGAAAAGGCGATTTAAGACGTAGCGAGTTTGTTTCAGATCCCTTTCTGTTGGAAGCATCGAGGTTGATCTGTTTAAGGTCTCGGAGCGTACAGACTCAGGATGGATAAAACCAGCACCTAGTTCAGGTGGAGGATCTGCTTCATGAACTCGTAGGTGGTGAAGGCCACGGCCTGGGAGGGGATGCAGCGGATGTAGTTGAGAGAAAGACCTCGGTACAATCCCTTCTTGATGCCAAACTCTGTGTACACATACTTCAGCGTGTTTCTCAGAGATCTGTTGAGGCAAGAGACAATACGAATCAGAGAGAAATCTAATGGGTTTATGGGTCTTCTTTTTTTTAGCTTAGTAAAGCCTATTCTTATTACCAGGATGTTGCTGTAGTTTTACAGATTAGTAGCTATGATACTCCTTGACGTTTTAGGACTATATTTCTTTTTATGTAAACAGCCCCTATTGGGTTTTGTTTTCTCTTCAGCTGTAAGCATACACTTCATTATCAAACCAAATGTGGGAACTTCTCATCTACTGTCCAAAACACCTAAATTCAAACACTGATTTTGTTAAGAACCTCATATACGAAGGTGCAGAACAACCTGCCAACAGAATATGGGGGAGTAGGATCATCGGTGATACTTACGAGCATTTCTCAGAGTCAGGAAGCACGGTTCCTAGCTGCATTCTTCTCCTAGCCACATCCAAAGGGTACCTTTAAGAGGAGACACAATGTGACACATCAAACATCAATACAAATACTTGAAAAGAAAACTTCACAACACATTGTCAGCATTAGGGCTTTTTGGCTGCCAGCCGACAGCACTTACGAGATGGTCTGAGCGATGGCACCGGCAACCCCTCCACACAGCAGGTTAACGTGCACTTTCAGAACCTGGACATCAGGGTTGTCTGAGGAGGGCTGTCCCAGCCTCTCTGGGAAATGTTTCAAGCCGAGGCTCTTCAGGGTGCCGAAAGTGAAAAACGAGACACCTGGACGATAAAAGGAAAGGGGAGAAAAGAGTTAAGACCTCACAAAGAACACTGGATAGATTTATGAAGGGGGAAATTGTATGTTGTTCTGCACGATATTATAGGATCTTCTTTAAAGACTCATATCAATCAATACAAAAATAATTGTATTAATCACCTGCATAAGGAGCCATTCCAATAAGTGTTGGAATAAGTCCCCTGTAGAAGCCCGAGACGCCCCCTTCCTTTGCAAAAAATAAAAACAGGTCTGATTGCAGAGGATACATTATTACAATTACAATATCTTTTTTATAGTCCCGCATTTTTAAAGTGGCAATATACAGCTTTTAACTTTCCTCCTGAAGTGTTTCTAAATTGATTTTTTTTTTTACCACAAGGACATATTTAGCTACCTATTATTTTTACAGGCAGGTGAAAAAAGCATCAATATGTATAAATGTTAATGATATTTGATTCATTCCCAATGCTTCTCGGAATATTCACAGTCCCTGGGTATTCTGCCAACCTTACAGTCAGTCTGTCCCTTGCCGCACCTTTCTCCAAAAGACACAACCACTAAGCTTTTTACAAATGAATGTGCAATGATGTCGCCAAGTTGCAAATGACCCTTCTTTCCCTGCCTTTGTTGTGCAATGGTTTACATACAAGGCTGTAACAAGAGGGAACCAATCCAAACCAAGATGTTGTCATTATTCTATTGCTATTACATTGTGCAATCACCATTGTTTCATACTGATAAAAGTACAGCAACAAACGTGTCCATTGCCGCTTAAATGAAAGGCTATAATGTTTATGAAGGCTTAGTTGTTTGTGTGAGAAGTTGAACAGCAGTACCCTACCTCAAGGTAGATGGTTTGGAAGGCATTTGCAATTCCAGTGTATCGATGCTCTCCGGTCACCTGGAAGGCCAGTCTGGCTCTGATGACGTCCAGAGGGTAGGTGAATATCACCGCAGTCAACCCTGAAAACACACAACAAAACAGATCAAACTTTTTATAAACACAGTCTTTGAATGTAGTTATGCTTCAAACTAATAAACTGGGATCAAGCACTTTCACATTTTGGCTGTATTTTCATTTCAATTGAAATACTTGTCTTTCATTCTCTTTTATTGTTGTGTTATGCCCCACCAAGCACACTGGGAACTGGACCACTTCAACAACATGAGAAAGATTATACTGAGGTGACAAATGCAAACATAGTCTAAGATTCAATGATCAATACATTAACAGGAAAGGGAAACTACATTACAGTGCATATTACCCAACTACGATACTGACATAAAAGGCACGTCTTATCAGTGAGAAAGATGAATTACCTGCCATAGATCCTGCTATTAGGCGGTGGATGTGTTCAGAGATCCCAAACTGTTTACCTAGCAGCTGTAATGCCAGGAATCATCGGTCAACAGTTTAACCAACAAAAGAAAAACAACACAATGAAACGTAGCAAACAAATAAACAAAATGTAACAATATTAAAGCCTATTATACTTCACGAATCAACGGCTACCATTGGTTTTTATTGAATTCCAATATATTTTATAACATTGCGTTTTGAGAGTGTTATTCCAAAATAAAGAACCACTGTACCTTATTATATTTTTCAAAGGCCATGAACTGGATGGCTCCATAGGGAAATATGCGGACCATCATTGCCCCATTACCCTTGTACAAGCCAAGGAAGCCTTCTTTCTTTGGCACGGCTTTCAGAGTTTCAAACACTCCTGCAAAGAAAGGTCAGAAGTGTCACTCATGTGGCACAGAGTTGTGAAAATAAACTCTTATTGGCGTTTCATGTTGGCTGCTGTTGTTTTTACCGAGATGTTTGTAATGGGGGTTCTGGGCTTGAAGGAGAATCTTGATTCTGTCCAGAGGAGCTATGGTACTCTTGGCACAGCATCCTGCAACACCTAAACAAAAGCAGATAAACGTAAATAGAACATTAATATGCAACTTTTAATGTTACAATGGGAGAATAGTTTTAATGTTTTTTAATTAATCTTGAGTGCCTGAAATGGCAATGAAAAACGCCAATCATGTAAAGATAGAACTGTTGAAATAAGATTCATCAGAATATTAAGAGTAGCGTTGGTCGTGCAACATAGAAGAGAGCAGAACAGATAACCATTTAGATTTTCAAGTGCAACATGTGTTGCAAAAATAAATAGAGGAACAACACAGAAAACATACCTGTCTTTTCTATAATAACTGCACAATGTAGAAAACAGAACTTACTGTAGAAGCTTAAAATATTTTTGAAAACTAACTTGTCTGTTTGTAAAATATATAATTACCTGAATCTCGAATAGTTGGTCGATTTTAAAAGAAGCTCCCTAAAGTAGCATTTGGCAGGCAGTGAACATTTTTGATTTTGGTCCCTGGTTAGTTGTCTTCATTGGTCTTTGAAGGGAAACTCAATTTGTGCTTGCAAAGTTCCACAGGTAGGTCAGAGACCTGCAGAGTGATGGTATCTTTAGAGCTAATATGAAGGTTTTTAAGCGACCTATCTAACTATCTAAGTGCAGTATGTTCAAGGTCCGTAGCGTGGCTGTGCAGTTTATGTGTCACAGAAGAAAGCAGGAGAGAGTGGAGCCCCTCCTGTAGATCAGGGTACATGAGCCTGCAGTGCCTAGCAGCAGCAGCAGCAGCAGCAGCAGCAAGGAGTCTGTTCGGCTGCAGGACCCTGAAGACAATCTGTTATCAATCATTATTGTGTCTCTGTGCTCACTTTCTCTTTTATCTGCTGGTATCACTTTTTCAAGGTCAAACGCAGAAATGTACTAATTAAGGTGTTAAATGTGTGCAGCAAATAACTAGCACTGCAGGATATGTACAACAAACAGTTATATGAGAAGGTAGAATCTATCATGTCAGATTTTTCCCGTCAGAAATTCTCGTCAGACTTTGAATAGCTGAAACCAATACATTCTTTATATAAATACTCTCATATATACCAGCACACTGCTTTATCCCAATATACTCTTGCAGACACAACAAGGCTGGAAACTGTATCTTTGAGTTCTACATTGTGTAAATCATCATCATCAACCTGTTAATGATAATATAGACTCATAAGTCAGATCCTACCTCCAGCTACAAAGGAGCGAACAAAGTGGTAGTCCCTCTCGGCAGGGGGCCCGCTGCTTATAGCAGGAGATGTGGAGACCACAGCCTCTGATGTCATCCTTCCTGCTGAGGAATCTGCCACATCCGTAGCTGTACAATAGAGAAAAACACTGTGATTTCACATGTGACCATGGGAATGTAACACCAACCTGGCAAATACCCATATGAGTAAACCAGAGTCTATGATATTGTATTTACTTAAGGGTGGTGTACAAGTTTTCAATGGGGTTTAACTAGCTTTGAGGGTAATTAGCCATGATATCAAGATACTCACAAGATGATCGATACTGTAAGAGAAACTGAACACAGAATAAGTGGAGGCTCTGTCCGATGAAATCTCTTCAATAAATGTTTCTCCTCTCGGGGTGATCCTGGCTGTTTGAAAGTGTTACTATGAAGGCCGGGTGGTCGCGAGGAGCTGCTGGTTTACTGTTTCAGGTGAACGCAAACTGGATCTGTTGTGATGAATGAACCGTGTGTACTTTCAACATGTAGGTACCACTAATGCCCTTCGCCAGTTAACTGACAGCATCTGACCGAAAACAGTCGCACGTTTATGACGCAGGATGACGTCAACAAACGAGGACGAGGGGCTGCGGTAAATTTCAGGATTTTTGTTTTCATAGGTTTTACAGGGGAGATTTAGCCAAAAATAGTTGTCACTTTACACATATTCTATATTTTATTTGATCCTATGTATTAAAAAAGTAGGTATAAGAATGTATTCAAAATATGTCAAACGATTTCAGTTAATTAAGATAAAAAGAGCAATAACAAAGAGTTATTACGGTATTATTATTATAATTATATATTTTTTAATTAAGGGAATGATTCATTATAATAATAATAATAATAATAATAATAATAATAATAATAATATTTTCATTGGCAGACGTCTTTATACAAACCTCTCTGGCCAGTTTAGATGTATGAATATGACATTTCCATAACATAGTAAGTAGATCATACATTTTTATTAAAAGCAGTTCACATACAATTATGAATTATCCTTATCAACTGCACTTGTGTTGTTTTGGTGATTCATTTCCTTATAATGATTTTTAGCACAACCATGCGTCCACTGGCTGAAACCACGGTCAGGAGCCCTAAACAAACCTTAGCTGTACTCCATCCCAGGTTTTGTTTTCCACTCTTCCTCCACAGCGACGACGAGTTTGTGGCCAGTGGACACCGACCGTAGGTTGCGTCTGGTGGAGGGAGAGTGAGCGGGGCTGCCCTGCGTGGACTGACAGAAGGGGGATTTACATTTGAACGGGTCTCGTGCTCCGTAAAGACTACAAGGTGCACGGTGTAAACTCTACTGTTCTTCCGCTGGATTTGTGTTTATGTTGGGGCTTTAATCATGTCCATGTGTCACCGTCGACGGAGGATTGAACTTGCCAGCAGTCTATATTTGCCGAGGAGGGAAACCAATACAAGGTCTCGCTGTCTCGCTGGAGCGGAGTATTATTAGCAGACAGTGCAACTGTCGCTCTCTGGTATGTAAAGCATTTCAGCCCTAAACGTGTTTATGAAACCTCACCAGCAACAACACAACTTATAACTGCATGGCGCTTTAAATGACAGCGGTCAAGTGCAGTAATACTAATAAACAGCGACGCTGAAGGCGCTTTTACACGGTAATAACCCTCTCTTCCGCCAGTCAGAAAGGCGAAAACAGGATCCGACCTCCGGCTCGAGCCCACTCCTCAGCGTGCCTGCTGCCCTTTAAACTGTTAGCCTTCCTGAAGCTTCACTATTTATTTTACAGCCTACAGTTCTTATGAGTTTATATAAAAAAAAAAACATGGTAGTATTTAAAAATGCTTTTGCTTTTCTTTATTGACGTCAACCAGACAACACTTGATCATCCGAGTAGACTGCATACTAGGCGGGGCAAAAATGTAATTTCCAGCAGATAAAGTAAACAACATTTGAGTAGATTTTAGCTTTAGATATTTTTATAACTATGTTGTCAGTCATCAAGTTGTAACTCATACACTGCATTATTACACTGAATATACATTGAAAGTCGCTGAAACTATTTTATTTTTTTTCTTCCTGTTTACTCTTGCTTTATAGGTCATGCACCGCAGCTACACGATTATGACGGTATCATAATTTACAAGCAAAACACAAAAGTGTAAGGTTAAGAACAGATTGTGTGCTGAGCAAAAGATAAACCTCCCCCTGGCTCCCATGCTGGCTGCAAGAAATCCTCCCCTCCACACCCTCAGCCATGCCTGCTACTACCAAACCCTCCAGGAGAAAGACACCTGCTCAGAGAAAAGCTGCCCAGAAAGTGATCAGCACCAAGAGGCAAACCTCTAACTCTAATAAACCCAGAGGAAGAGCCACAGAGAGGCCCCAGAAAACACCTGCGGAACCCAAAAGGTCAACAACCAGGGCCCAGGCACAGTCAGGCCGAAGACCCCGTGGAAGAGGGGTTAGCGGGCCTGCTACTGAGAGCCCTGGGAGGTCTCCTGGCAGAGTTAACCATGCCCTAAATGTAAAAGAATCTGCAAGGCTTGGACGGCAGAGCAATCCGCCTGACCACAGCAGCGAGTTACAAGACCCCCCGGGGCGAAGGAAGTCTCTGCGGGGCACCCGGGTGCCTGTTACTCCCTACCAGCCTAAACCTTGCAGAGGAGGGAGAAACAGCAGGGGGGGCGCAGGGAGGCGAGCAGCATCACAGCAAGGAAACACAAGAAACAAGCCCTTGAGCACCAGCATCAATGAATCAACTCCTGAAGAGAGAATTGAGAGTCTGGCCGTCAGTGACGCTGAAGAAAAACTTGCAGTTTCTCTAAAAACTGATGCTGAAGTTCCTGCAAATATCAAAGATCAGAGTTTAGGAGGCAACAATGCTAAAGATGGCAGCCCTCTTAAAGCAGATTCCCCGCCGTCTAATGACCTACTGGAAGACTGTGTGCAGGGCAGCTGTGACAGTACTACAACCCAGCAAGACAAAAAGGCTGTCAGTCATAACAGTGACGGTGACCTGAGGTGTGTGACTGCGGTGTGTGGCGATGTTGATGGACATCTTAAACTCTGCAGTGACAGAAGTAAAGATAGCCCCTTTGCGCTTACAAGAATCTGCTCACCAGAAGTACAGAGCAACAGGAAGAGAAACAAGAGTTTATCTATCCTTGGAAATAAGCTTGATCATCTTGGCTGTGATGGTAAGCAAGATGATATATGTACAGTCCACCAAGAGGAAGGTAGCAAGTTGGACTTAAAAGAAAATAGGACAGATGAAAGAGAGATAGTCACAACTGAGACAAAAGAGAAAATACATCATGAGAGAGGAGAGAGTTTCAAGGGAGACAATGCAGTTGAGACTGTGGAAGACATGGAGAACATGGAGGACATGGCTGAGAGGCTGGCAAATTGTGATGGAGAGAAAAAAGAAAAGGAGAATGATTTTTCTATCAATCCTGACGGCCCCCTCCCCAGCACTCCAGCCTTTCAATCTCCAGATCCACCTCACTCTAACAATGGACTGACAGAACTGTCAGAATCACCTGTAAATGTGCTGTCAGTGTCCAACACAGCTACCTCAAATCCCACCAAAGCCCCCTCCACCTCAGAGGCAGTTAAGCCAGAGGGTCTGAGCCAGGGTAAGACAGACATGCTACCTGCCATTCATGGTGCTAAACCTCAGTTCACAGGGTCCTCAGCTGTTGCTGAAACTGCCCTGATGGTGCAGACTGTTCTTGTAAAAAGAAATACACCGGTTATTATCCGTACTGACTGCTTCAAACCCAGAATTGTGAGGGATTCAAGTCAGGGGGAACCACACCAACTGCAGAGCCTAGCCATCCTTTCTCCTCTGGAAGAGAAAAAAGCTTGCACACCAGCAGAGACGCAGACCAAAGATAGTGAATCCAATCCAGAGCCATTGGAGGGCCACAGCCAGAGAGAGACATCTTCCCTGTCACTATCACTCGCTCCTCAGTTCAGCACAGATGTTCTTGCAGCCGAGTGTGAACCAAACCTCAGCGAGGACAGCGCTGTGGTAGCAGAGCAAAACTCGGTGCCAAAGATCTCAACTACTTCTCCGGACAGTAGCTACACTTTCTCCTGCAGCTCAGAAAGCACACGGTCCTCTTTTTCTTTTGACACTGAATCGGAGGCAGGGTATGGAGAGCCTGGCCCCTCTACACTTCCCATATCCTGGGGGCCAGAGGGGGCCTGTTTGCCCTCCTGGACCACTCCGAAACAACAGAAGAAGGAGAGGAAGAAGCGGAGTAGGTGTGGGATGTGCGAGCCATGCCTGAGGAAGATCAGCTGTGGCCAGTGCAGTTGCTGCCTCAACCGCAGCACTGGCCACCAGATCTGTAAGCTGAGGAAGTGTGTGGATCTGAGGAGGAGAAGAACTTCTCAGCTCGCTCCCTCTGCCGCACAGGTGAGTCTGATATTACACCGCACACGTGCACTTAATTAATTAATTAATTTTATAGCAACACATTACAGGGTTTTTTATTGCAGTCAGTTCTTTAGTTCGTTCTCACAAGGAGGTTCATTTAGACTTTTAGAGGATAATTTGAGTGGGAATTTACTGGATCTAGAGCAACTGATAAAAAAAAGATGCTTCCTGACAGCATTGTTTTTGATCTCCAAGGTTTCCCAGCTATGATCTGGAGCTGAGTTAGCCAAACAGTGGAAACAGAAGGTTTCACTTTCACAATGTGTTTCACTTTTTCCTCGGTCAGTTACAACACATGCCGAACACTCAACTTCATGCTGTCTTCCTGTTAAATGTTGGGGAATGTGTTGAGTGATAAATGGGGAAGTTTGTGTCTGTGACTGTGTGTTAAAAGGGGAAGGCGGTGTCACATGACCAGCAGCAGCTCAGCACGTGCTTGTAGTATGTGACTGTTGGTTGTGTGTGTGTGTGTGTGTGTGTGTGTGTGTGTGTGTGTGTGTGTGTGTGTGTGTGTGTGTGTGTGCCATCCATGGTGCGAGCAAGAGAATAAGCTGTTTTATGAGTTGCACGTGGTGTCTCTGTGAATGTGCATGCTTGTGTCTGTGGATGGGTATGTAATTAAGGCCGATTTTAGCCAGATGTTTTGCAAAGTGGCACTGAATGACAATGTGAATGCATATTTTAACACAAGACAATGAACAATGACAGTCAGGACCCTAGTTAGGAGAGGAATCTGTCCCAGTCCATTTTGAAATAGCTATAATTATTATATTCTTGAACCTGCAAAATGATCACTTGTATCTGCAGCTCCCCTTGGTATTCAGAGCTCTATGACGGCTTTCATCCTTGGACTGTATGTAAACATATCATATTTTATCAGGAATGTGTGTTACTTATTCTACAATCTAATGTCCAAGAATGGTTCATGCATGACTCATGTATTCCAAATTATTTCATTTCTGGTATAAGCTAAACATATGTTCTCACTATGGTGCTCTATCTTTAATCTATAACATACTTGTTTAGGAACTGAAGGCTAATAACATAAGCATTTACAATCATTTTGGTAGTTGGGAATAAGAGTTCCTTACAGCAGCTGGCAACCAGAGCTACATAATCATGTTCATAGTTCAGTGCTGTCCATGTGGCTGGGGGAGGGCTCTGTGTGAACAACTGTGAGTGAGGGTCCATGTGGTCTTGTGTCTGCAACTGGCATGCGTGTAGGCCCTAGCAGTTGCAGTAGCAGATTAAAGATGATTAAATAACACCTGTGGTATTAGTAATGACAATCTTTGTGCACTATTTGTTTATAAGTGTACAACAGGGGGCAGAGAGGACAAGTTCAGGCCAGGCAGAGATTTATTTGGAATCCCCTGAAAATGTGGGTCAGTGTGTGCATGACTCAGAGTCAAATTCAAATGTACAGTATATGTGGCTGTGACTTTTAAAGAGTATACATGTTTGTGTGGTGCATGCATGAGTGACAAGACAATGAATATAAATTGATTGAACTGCAGAGCAACAGAGCCAGTGTTTGTCTCCACATGGCTCTGAACGGCATACACGCTTTAGTATTGTGTGTGTTTGTGGTTTGGGAACAGGTTTTTGTTGGATTGTGCAGGGGTATAGACTGCACCAGCTGCTGCAAGCTAGCACTGTCAGAACAGCTATCATAATGATCAGCTGGAGGGTAAATCCCCAAATCCCTATGCTTAATTCCAGATACAGAAAGGGGGAGCAACCCTTCCTTGTGTTTTGTTAGTATATATAACTCAAGAAACGACACTGTGTTGCACAAGGGCTTACTTTATGTGTATTTATAGTCTGTGTAATATATTATACTTGCTGGCCAGTCCTGCTGATCAAGCTCACACGCCCTACCAACAGATTATTCTCAGCCCTGAGATTGTTAAAACAGGGGCAGAGGCCAAAGAGGAGTTCATGTTGTGACATGTGGATTCTGTTCCTGGTTTTAGTAAGCTACCATGGTTGGTGTTGTTGTGGTTCAGTTTGGTTTAACTGTGTCATAAAACATTAAGTCCATAACATACCTTACACAGATTGATCAGTGTAAGGTGCTTGTATATGGAGGCAAAACTAGCTCCTATTGTTTGTGTGTTTGTAAAAAAGAGTGTGGTGCTTTCCTTTTAAAAATGTCTGGTTTCACTCAGGCTTGATGGCCCCCTCGTGGCCTCGCTCTGTATCGGGCTGTGTGGAAGGGGCTCACTGCCTAGTCTGACCTGGCCCTGGCCTGAACACAGAAACACACATGCTAACACGTACACACCAGAAACAAAACACTACCGTTCATAGGGTGCAAACACTCCTGTGTTTGTAGAATGAATTTGACTGAAATAGTCCTGACATGTTTAGAGCTGTAGGCTGCATAACTGACTCACTGTTTTATTGGCTAACAAGGCAGATGTCAGTGTTTTTGGATAATGTTTTTAACACTCAAATCCCTGCAAAATAGCAACAAAAATACGTTATAAAGAACAGCCGTCATCACTGTGTCACTTATCATAATTTTGTAAACAGTTGGCCCTCAGTAACTCACTGCCAGCAGACCATTTGACTTGAACTGGCAAAACATCTTAAATACCTAATACAAATTCACAAATGGATGCAAGATGTTGACATGTATGTACATTATGCACATAAGTAATTTCTCCAAAAAAGGGTTAAGATACTTCCCAATAAGTTTTTATAAGAAGTATTTGTATACTATATATATAGATATGTATTAAAGACCAAATTTCTGAGTTATTTTTCATATATATATATACATATGCTATCTTTTAAAGAAACACATTGATTTGTATACCTTTTATTTACTTGTAAATGAAATGTACAATGTTACTTTTGGGGCATTTCAAACCCCTTTGTTTTCCATTTTGTCCAGAACAAGTTATCAAGTATATTGTACAACATACTTTGTCATAGCCTTAGACAAATGCCAAAAGCCGCACTCACACATAGTATATCTATCATCTGTGAGTGCTGTGTGTCTTTCTGCCATTGCATTTATCCACACCATGCACCTGGTGAGGTACACTGTGGGTGAGATTGAGGCGCACCATAATAACATAGCAGGGACCCTATACTCTTTACAAATAGCAGCCTGCATTCTTCCAGTCAGCTAACCAGCTTTGTGCCCAGCTCCTGCTGCAAACTAATTTATCTCCCACACTTATTTCACTCCTTCCTTTTCTGCTGCAAGGAGTAGCCCAGCTGAGATAACACATGTATCATGAAAACACTTGCCGATCCGATCCCTCCGACAGCCTCTGGTGGGGAGGACAGGCAGCCGGCAGCACCCAGCGGCGACTGTTTGCTCTGTAACAGATATTCAAAGCTGTGTGTGTCTTTGTGCACGAATGATTCTTTCCTATATTTTTTTGTCAAAAGGGAAGGTTCATGCAGATAACCGTGTGTGCGTCTGGCGTGTGTATGATGGTCTTTTTTCACAGCTTGTAGTTGAGGCCATCGTGCAGCGAAGCACCCCCATTGTTCTCAGATGGAACCAGCTTAATGTAAAGTGAGAGTGATTTGTCCCAGCAGACGCTCCTGTCAGGTCCAAGCTCCTCTTCCCCCTCTCTTTCACACACACACACACACACACACACACACACACACACACACACACACACACACACACACACACACACACACACATACACACAAACACACACACACGCACACTCAGTGGAAGTCTTCAGGACCGACGGTAGCCATGGAGACCCCATTGTCTGGTGCTGACCTTTGACCTGCCATGGCTGATGGAGTATTCTCAGGGTTGTAAGGAGGATTAGTGGAGATAACCAGCAGACACGCACTTTGGGTTTAAGGCTGTGAACTCGGTAGCCTATATCCAGGTAATTGGGTTAAACTGCTCAGATTGTCTTGTTCATATCGGGTCAGCAGCAAGCTGTAGCTGCTACAAGAGATGAGCGCCTGAAAAATGGCTGAAATGTCTGCATTATCTCTGTAAATCAACCAATTCAGTGAGGTTATTACACTAGATTTTTATGCCGATAAATGCAATGAGCACACATTTATGTCTATGGCAAACGTTACAGAGTAAGCTTCTTTTTAATTGTTGGGAAAGCTATAACATGAGTCTTATTCTGTTTAAAGTGGATCTATCATGCTATATTTGAATATTATATTGTAGGGCCATAAGGTATATTTATACGTTTTCTTTTTCAAAATACCAAACAGATCATGCATTTTAGCCATGCCTCATTTTGCTCTATTTTGCTCTCCTCCACCCTGTCTTTGCATGCGCTGCAGCTGACCACACCCCCCTGCAAAGGAGGGGGCCGAGTTGAGCATCATGTTACCATGCTGTTACCATGTTGTTACCATGCCACGACAACCTCTCATTCCCCTGANAAAAAGGAGAGTTCTCCGCGAAAGTGTGACCTCATGAAAGGGTCATCTTGATCTTGAATCAAGTACTCTTGGAAGGTGGGGGAAAGGTAGGGGACGATCTCTTGTCCATGAAAGTATCCTCTTTTTCCGAGGTAAAGACTAAACGACCCGCCTAACGGTTTGGGTGCGGGGCATTTTGAGGGTTTTTCAAAACAATACGGCGGTAACATAAATGACCGTAATCGTAATAATCGTAATTGTAATCGGGTCGCGCGTGGTTTGTCCCTCTCTGATTGAATACCGTTGTGTTTCTTTTGTACCTGGCACCTCTGCCACCTCTACTCCACAGCCGCAAGACCGCTAAATGAGCCTTCCGAAGTCATCTTCGACGACCCTCAGGGTCGTCGAAGATGACTTCGGTCAGGGTTTGGGACCCCTGAAGCCCACCGTCACATGCGGCACTTCAACAACGCCGGGACGGTCATTTGGGTTTCTTTCGTCGTCGTCGTCGTCGTCGTCGTCGTCGTCGTCTTCTCTCTCCTGCTTCACTGCCAGTCGCCGAAGTAAACGGATTAGGAGGGGGTCCCTGAATAAGGCCCACACTT